TCCCCCCCCCCCCCCCCAGTTTAGTCACTGTCTGAGCCGACAGCCGAAGATCCTTTCCGTTTCCTCTTGGTGGGTTTCGGTTTGGCATCTTCCTCTTCCTGGGGGGGGAAGGGGGGGAGAGAAGAAAGGGGAGGGGGAGATAAAACCGGATGGAAAGTGGGGGGGCAGGTGTTTCCTCTGTAGGGGTGTCGCTTTGCAGCCCCCTCCCCAAAATCTCAGCTTCACGACGAGAGAGCGACGGGGCAGGGAACCCTCTCACCTCTAGCCGCCTGTCTCTATCTATCGGTTCTCTCCTTTCCCTCCTTCCCTCCCGCTCTTCTCTATTCCTTCCTTCCTTCTTTTCCTTCCCCTCCATTACTTCCTTCCAGGTTCATTATCAACCCTGCTTTCTCTTTCCTTCCTTTTCCCTTCTTTCTCCCCTCTTCCTTCTCTTCTCCCTTCTTTCCCTTCCTTTTCTTCTCTTCTTTCCTCTTCCTTTTCCCTTCCTCCCTTCTTTCTCTTCCTTTTCTTCTCCCTTCTTTCCTCTTCCTTCTCTTCCCCCTTCCTTCCTTCTCTTCTCCCTTTTTTCTCTTCCTTTTCTTCTTCTTTCCTCTTCCTTCTCTTCTCCCTTCTTTCTCTTCTTTTTCTTCTCTTCTTTCCTCTTCCTTCTCTTCTGCCTTCTTTCTCTTCTTTTTCTTCTCCTTTCTCCCTTCTCTTCTCCCTTCCTTTTCTTTCCTTCCTTCTTTCTCTTCTTCCTTCTCTTCTCCCTCCCTTCTTTCTCTTCTTTTTCTTCTCCCTTCTTTCTTTTCTCCTCCCTTCCTTCTCTTCTCTTCCTTCTCCTTTCTTTCTCTTCTTTTCTCCTCCCTCCCTTCCTTCCTTCTCCCTCCCTTCTCCCTCCCTCCCTTCTCTATTCCTCCCTCCCTCCTTGCACTACTATCTTCCTCTCTCTCTCTGAAACCCCCCACCCCCCTCACAATCTCCCTGCACCCCCACACACACAAAGGGAGCCCCCCCTTTCTCTCTTCCGAGGGTCCCAACCCCAAACCCCCCCTTTCCCTTTTCTTTACCCCCCATCACCCCCAAACCCCCGAGGCCAGGGGCTCCCCCCTTCCCCACATCCCCCCCTCCTCCTCCCTGCCCCCCCCCCGCTCACCGAGGCGCTGCTGGAGGCCGACTCCTCCTCGTTGTTGGGGGGCTGCTGCAGGGCCGCGTTCTTCCGGCTCCGGGGGCTGGAGAGGGCCGCCTTCCTCCGGCTCTTGGGCAGCTTGCTGGACGAGTCTTCGTACTCCTCGGCCAGGGAGAAGAGGTCGCTGAACCTTTTTTGGGGGGTGGGGGGTGAGGGGGGGCAGAGAGAAAAGGAGTTTGGGGGGAGGGTCTTCCCCAACACTTTCCCCTACCCCCCCCCAAAAAAAACCGGGGGGGTCTTACTCACTTCATCTTGTGGGCTTCGTCACAGCTGCACTGGACGTGCTGCAGGGACTGAAGGATTGGCGGCTGGCTGAAAACTGGAAGGAAAATTGGGGTGGGGGGGTCGTGAGAAAAGTGGGGGGGGGGCTTAGAATGTGGCCCTTAGGGGACAAGCCTTCCACCCCTGGAGGTTTGGACAGCCCTTTGTCTGAAACGACAGGGGGTCTCCTGCTTGAGGAGGAGGAGGTTGGGCTAGAAGACCTCCAAGGTCCCTTCCAACTCCGCGGTTTTGTTCTGTTGTTGTTATTATTCCGTTATTCTGCTATTCCTTTTCCTTCCTTCCTTCCTTCCTTTCCCCTGATTCCCTCCCTCCCTCCTTTCTATTCCCTTCCTTCCTTCAACTCCCTCCTTTTCCTTCCTTCCTTCAATTCCCTTCCTTCCCCTTCATCCCCCCTTTTCCTTCCTTCCTTCCTTCCTTCCTTCCCTAATTCCCATCCCCTTTCCTTCCTTCCTTCCTTCCTTCCTTCCCTAATTCCCATCCCCTTTCCTTCCTTCCTTCCTTCCTTCCTTCCCTAATTCCCATCCCCTTTCCTTCCTTCCTTCCTTCCTTCCTTCCTTCCTTCCTTCCTTCCTTCCTTCCTTCCTTCCTCCCTCCCTCCCTCCCTCCCTCCCT